GTATATATTATATTATATAAATTATTGTAGTAATAAAAAGTAAATAAAAAAATAAAGAAATAAAAAAACAAAAGCAATTAATGGGGGAGTCAAATTTTCCACCTTACCTGCCAATCTATATTTATATATATATATATATATATTATAATATTATATTTGTCTTATTTGCAGGTTGAATGCCTATAAGAAAAGCTTCAACAAACGAGCTCAAAAAAGGGAGGGGACTTCGAGTGGAACTCAAAGAAGAAAGGAAAGAGGGAAATAAAGAAAATGAGAGTGAGAGACTTTAGAATGTATATTTTTCAGAGTGGTAGTTCCATGAGTATGTGGAACTAACTAACTTGCCTTAAGATTAAGATGAAATCCTGATCATGTAATTGGGGCGAGTTGTATTTAATTATGTAGTTTTGATTTAATTTGGATACTTTGTATAACGTTAGAAAATTTGTTTGTACAATATTTTTTTTTTATTATTTAAAATTCATTATACAAATGGTTTTTAGTGTTTGTATAGTAAGATTGTTAGATGAGTCATGCCAAGTAAGACGGGTCGAGCTTCAAAATAGTTTAGTATAATTTAGGGAGATGATCCGTTCTAAATGAAGATAGTTCATACTTTCAGATTTTATTATGCAAAAATTATTGTTACAAAGTAACTAGGGAAGATACATCATAGTATCCAAATAATATTTGGACTACTGCAAAGGACTGCTATTTTATTTTATTTTCTTTATTTTTTATTTTTATTTTTATTTTTTTTATTTTGTCTTTTTAGTAGGTACCCCTTTTCAATTGGAGAGGCCTTGCACTCTCTTTTAATTGGAGAGGTTTTATACCCCTTTTTATTTTATCGCACTTTTATTTATCACAACTTATTTCTTTTTAGGGATAGTTTAACCGTCCGATCTATTGTGCTAGTTGTTTTTTTTTCCTATAGGTTTTAGTTTCTGTCGCAGGTTTCAACTTAAAAAAAAAAAAGTGTGAATGAGTGTCTTGTATGCATGGTCGCGGTTCTTGTTTTCCTAAATTGTTGTCATTCAATCCTGAGTTGGATTCAATAAATCACATCTAATCTAAAATGATATCAAGCCCATGTTGTCTACTAGAACAATAATTAGTTCCTTCCTCCATTACCACTGTGTCAATTGGTGTCAGAACGAGGTCTTCCCCGAGGGGTAGTTCATAACCATGGTTGCCTTCGGACAGGTCGTAACCCGAGCTCGTGGACTTTTCTTATCATCAAGATTATAGGTATCATGAAAATTTACCTAAATTTAGTGGTGGTGAATATTTTAAGATATTCTAGATTGGATACTAGATATATATATATATATATATATTGAAAATATGAAAATTCCAAACAAATAAAAGTAGAGGTTTGTGTTATTAAAGCTTACAGGTCCTGCACTTTGGTGATAGTTAGATTTGCAATCATCAAGAGAGCAACAAGGCAAGGTGCGTATTCGTTCATGGTCAAGAATGAAAAGGCATATAATGGAGATTTTTTTGCCATGGAATTATGAGCAATTATTGGAGGAAAAATACAAGCCTAAGCACCATACTATTAATACTTATGTCGAAACTATCCTTGAAGGGCTCACGTTTGAAGACAAATCTATATTGTCTCGTGTCCAAGAAATAAATGAAGAAAAAGTCTTGAAAGTATACCAAGAAAAAATCCAAGACATTATTGCAAAAGTTGGAAGTCTTGTTACAGAAAGTGAAGATTCGTCAAACAAAAAAAAAAAAAATTGTCAAATTGCAAGATGAGATCAAATTATGTAGTTCAAAATATTCACCAACTGATGGCTTAATAACAGAGGAAAACCGGGGGGCTACCACAGCGCAGAAGTTTGTTCTTGTATTATTGGGCAGTGCAATTAAAAACAAAGGTGTGCAACCACTTTTTGACTATGCTCTTAGTTATTTTCCTTGTCCTACTAAAGTGTACGACCTTGACCGAACTAATGAAAAGAAGGGTTTTTAAGAAGATGCCAAAATTCCTTGCTTAAGTAATTTAAGAATTCAAGGAATTGTTATTTCCTAAAAGAACTAAGAGAGAATGCACATAGATGGGAGCAAGTATCCTTTATGTGACATATGCATTCAACAATCATCCCAAGAGGAGTTACACTTTTCCAAAGTCAAGTATGTGAAAAGATTATCCTTAACTATAAGATAGATGCAGACAAGCTCAAACGTATGAAGTTTCGATTCATAGTAAATCGAGGGTGAGGTTTTTTTTTCCTAAAGGGAGAGAATGATGTAAAACAAGAGTTTCAAAAAATTGTATAGTAATTAGCATTAACTGAATATTCTTTTAGAGACCAGAAACATCATTTGGCAAAAAGTAAGAGTCTTTTCAATTACACCTCATTACATACCAATCATGACTGCCAAACAACAGTCAAATCATGAAGATGTCAATACCTTTATGAAAATCATGAACCTTAATAATGTCCTTTCTGGCTTTGACATAGAGCATCAAATTTAAAGCAACAGTAGGAAAGGATAAATTGTAGATTATAGGTGATGTTGTGCCTGCTCTGATCTATACTTACTATACTACGCAATTACTGGTCTATACATTGATTTTCAAAAAGTCTTTGATGCCATGTTTGAAGCCTCATCCCACCCATCCTGTACATCCAAATTTGGAAAGAAAACCAACCCAATCAAGCACCCCTCATCCCGTACAGCCCAACCTCAGTCAAACTCATAGATTTCACACTAGCGAGAATAAAAGATGAAACTTTGCTCAACTGACATAGGAGCCTACAGGCATGAGTAACTTATTCTTTTAATCAACATTATTTTCAAAGAGTTTCTGTTTTATTGTCCTTGTGGATTCAAGGTTGTTCCTATGGATTCAATAAATCACATCTAATCTAAAATGATATCAAGCCCATGTTGTCTACTAGAACAATAATTAGTTCCTTCCTCCATTACCACTGTGTCAATTGGTGTCAGAACGAGGTCTTCCCCGAGGGGTAGTTCATAACCATGGTTGCCTTCGGACAGATCGTAACCAAAGCTCGTGGACTTTTCTCATCATCAAGATTATAGGTATTATGAAAATTTACCTAAATTTAGTGGTGGTGAATATTTTAAGATATTCTAGATTGGATACTAGATATATATATATATATTGAAAATATGAAAATTCCAAACAAATAAAAGTAGAGGTTTGTGTTATTAAAGCTTACAGGTCCTGCACTTTGGTGATAGTTAGATTTGCAATCATCAAGAGAGCAACAAGGCAAGGTGCGTATTCGTTCATGGTCAAGAATGAAAAGGCATATAATGGAGATTTTTTTGCCATGGAATTATGAGCAATTATTGGAGGAAAAATACAAGCCTAAGCACCATACTATTAATACTTATGTCGAAACTATCCTTGAAGGGCTCACGTTTGAAGACAAATCTATATTGTCTCGTGTCCAAGAAATAAATGAAGAAAAAGTCTTGAAATTATACCAAGAAAAAATCCAAGACATTATTGCAAAAGTTGGAAGTCTTGTTACAGAAAGTGAAGATTCGTCAAACAAAAAAAAAAATTTGTCAAATTGCAAGATGAGATCAAATTATGTAGTTCAAAATATTCACCAACTGATGGCTTAATAACAGAGGAAAACCGGAGGGCTACCACGGCGCAAAAGTTTGTTCTTGTATTATTGGGCAGTGCAATTAAAAACAAAGGTGTGCAACCACTTTTTGACTATGCTCTTAGTTATTTTCCTTGTCCTACTAAAGTGTACGACCTTGACCGAACTAATGAAAAGAAGGGTTTTTAAGAAGATGCCAAAATTCCTTGCTTAAGTAATTTAAGAATTCAAGGAATTGTTATTTCCTAAAAGAACTAAGAGAGAATGCACATAGATGGGAGCAAGTATCCTTTATGTGACATATGCATTCAACAATCATCCCAAGAGGAGTTACACTTTTCCAAAGTCAAGTATGTGAAAAGATTATCCTTAACTAACTTGCATCACTCCTTTCTCCATCAAATAAAGAAATTTTAATATCTTCAACATTTGAAATGAAGTCCTCAAAATATTTCTCTGCTTCTTCAGTCAATCGTTTAGACACCTTATTTCTGTCATTACTCCTCTAGCAAATTGCAGAAGCATTGAAGTTAATAGAACACTTTATCATCACTACTCTCAACAAGGACTAAAGACAGATCCTGCAGTTTACACATGGAGATTGAGAACCATACCTTTCAGGCCCGGGATGGTTTATCCACAATTGTAGAGCTCTTTGTATTAGGAAGCAATTCTGTTACAATTTAGATAGTTCCCTACCACGTTGCTCCTCCAAAACTATCTCAACTAAGAGATCTTGTTTATGCCTTTCTGACTGGAAAATTTGTGGAAACTCAACATTTCACTACTTCAAGTCCTTAAAAAGCACAGAATAACAACATATCTTTCAAAGTTTGCTCATATGTCGATTGCTTCAATATTCTGGAAACTCACATAAAACTGTCAATAACAAACTATCCCTCATTCAACTTAGTTTCACAAGATGGTGCTTCAATGGTGATCTAAAATTTATTATGTTATGTTTGTTATCATCATTTCATGAAAAACAATGTTAGCAATATATTATGTTTAAAGTCATTTGTCAAAAACATATCTCTAACACAACACTATACAATTGTGATCATGTATCAAAATTTTACAATTAGAAAAACTAATTTATTTTTCCATCATCCAATAAAAAGAGAGTTTTTATCTGTTCAAGTGTCCTAGACTTATAGTCAAACAAGCAATTTTACGGCATTAGCTTTTTCAGACGCTATTAATTTAAGAAGTTAGTGCTCAAATCAGTGGCATGGCATAATGATAATACCTATAATAATGGATAGAACATTAACGTAGCAATAATATAATAGTAGTAGTATTATATAATAATTAAATAACAAGAACACAATATTATGTGATGTTACTATATTGTATATATTAGCGTATGCCCGTGCCTATATAAATAATATTGGTACACATTTTAAAATAAATCAATTAACATAAATTATTAATATTGGTATCACATCCTTTACAAAAAAATCAGTTCAAAATGATAATAATTTCACTGTTATAGAAATCAATTATAATAAATCAATTTAAGATATCGTACAATGGCAGTTTGTTTAAGTTAAAATATAATTTATCAAATTCATTAGTAAAAGTTTAAATTAAAATATTAATTTGTATTTAAAATTTTTATTAAACTTTTTATTGAACTCATAGGCAGCTTAACCTTTAGGCCACTTGGCCTATTGTATAAGGCCTACCAAATAATTTCAAGAAACTTTCTGATTTCCAAAAGTCCCAATCGTCTAAAGGCTTAGTAAGATAACCTCATTTTGACGTTTGGCCTTTATGCCTAAAATGTTCTTGGGCTGCTACTGGCTGAGAACTGGTACATGGCTACACATTTTAGAAGCTAGTTGTAATCAGTCTAGTAATGCTAAAGTTAACAATATAAAACTTAAAACAAAACAACTTTGAAAAAAATATGCAGAACACAGGTACTAACACAAAACTTAAAAGATCAAAAGTGAAGCAAAATTAAAAATACTCACTCATAAAGTTTACAGAAGAGAAGACAAAACTAATAAACCAACAAAATTACAAGATTGCCAAGTCCAACTGACCTCGTCCTGGTCCCAGTAAAGCCCCCAAGGCCTGAACCTGATAGTATATCTTTAAGAATACCGCTGATGCCAAGGAGTAGCAAAGTGTGATTTCGATCTGTCAGAATTCAATTTGAAGGAAAATTGTCAAAACTCGAAGAAAATTGACAGAGAACAATTGAAGATCGCAAGAACAATTATGTTGGATCTTACCTGGAGAGCAGAAGTGAAGCAACTGCAGAAATTTAGCTATTTACATTGGGTTTTTTTTTCTTCACAAAAGATTAACATGAATGCTCTAGAAACTGATTCAGAAACTGATTAACGATGCAATCTGTTCATACTCATTAAAGATACAATCTGCTTTATTATATAGATGTCCAGACACAAATAGATAAGCAAGAATTTCATCCCAAACCTTAAATTCAATCATCTAACTCCAAACATTCTGTAAGAGATTCACATTAACTAATATAGTCCATAAAAATGTAAATCCCTATACTGAACTCAATTTAAGCTGAAAATTGAATTGGAACTATTTTTCCATCAACCAATCCCCATTGAATAGAAAAGAAAATTCACAGCAACTATGACCCAAAAGATACCACCCATGAAATGCAGGCAGATTGGCAACAAATAAAATTTTCAGCATCAAGGACTTGGAAAAGTGAAGATGCTCCATAATTTCAATTGCTGATGCATAATGGTGCGTTGATTATATTCATCACTTCAACTTTCTATTGCATATTAAAACTCATGCTTCATATGCTAAATGGTATATATAAAAAAAAAAAAACTCTTAGCACAGATATCTGTCCATTAAAAAAAATATTCAAATTCGTTTGCATTTGCTCAACCTATTATTGGGACCTATGTCAAATCCAAAATCATATTCACATAAACTAATAATATCAGTAGTCCCAATTATTGTCACTGTCTATAGCACATATATCTACAAATATCATTAAATAATCCTGTTTCACTGATCGATGTCCAGACACAAATAGATAAGCAAGAATTTCATCCCAAACCTTAAATTCAATCAACTAACTCCAAACATTCTGTAAGAGATTCACATTAACTAATATAGTCCATAAAAATGTAAATCTCTATACTGAACTCAATTTACCCAGAAAATTGAAATAGAACTATTTTTCCATCAACCAATCCCCATTGAATAGAAAAGAAAATTCACAGCAACTATGACCCAAAAGATACCCATGAAATGCAGGTAGATTGGCAGCAAATAAAATTTTCAGCATCAAGGGCTTGGAAAAGTGAAGATGCTCACTGAAGCATATAAAAAAAAAATAAAAAATAAAAAAACCGGTAGAGAACAATGGAACAACCTCTTAGACCCATTCAAACAAACACTTAATAAATTAAATGAGTGGAAGAAATTTATAACAGAAAACTTATAGATTTTATTTACTAAACTTATAGATTGAGCAAACTTATGTTTTTTTTTTTTTTAATAACCTTTTCTTCTCATTAACATATATGTCGTTTAAAGGACAGGTAACTATATATCAGTTATAGCATAAATAGAAAACTTATGTTTAGTAAAATTTACCCAAAACTATATATCGTTTTCAATCTATAAGTTTAGTAAAAACATATAAGATTTACCCAAATCTATAACTTATTTTTTTATAACCTTTTTTATAAGTTTAGTGAAAAAAAAAAATTCAAAAATAGGGTGGCTTCAACCAGATCATCATTTATTATGAATGAAAATGAAGTACAATTCAGAAATTGAAATAGTTTCACAAACACACAACCAAATCAATTTCAACCAAAAATGATCCCAGAACACAACAGTGATGTAGCCAATTTCTGTTTTGTACCTGTAAACCTTTTTTAACAGAAACCTTATATTATATGAGTGGAAGAAAACTTTCCAACCCTCCCCAAAAAAAAAAAATGATTCCCCTAATTGCAGAGTATATAAATGAACCAGTAAGTTCTGATCTTCCTATACAAATTTCTGAAAGGGAGAGAGTTTTAGAAGTAAACCCAAATTGACATTACTAATGCATACCCATCTGGGTAATCAACACCCATTTACCTAAAAAATAAAGAAAGATAGATCTTTTGTGAGATCAATTAGAAGCAAGAACAGAGTGATAGCAAGAGAGATAATAAGAAAATAAATCTGAAAATGAAAGAGAGATAATCAGAAAATACCGACAGAGGGAAAATCTGAAAATAGATCGTTCTGTTTTCTGCTTTCTCCGCAAGCCTTTGAAGCCGAAATCTGAAATTAGGTACAAAACATGAGACCAAAGATGAGCAAGCAAACGATTTTTTTGTCTTGCATTGCCGAATTAGTTTCAAATCTCTCCGAATCCCAAACAGTACCTAACAATGGAGAGGTTAAATTTCCAACCCCCCCCCAAAAAAAAAACATGATTCCCCCAATTGCAGAGTATATAAATGAAGCAGTAAACAAATTTCTGAAAGGGGGAGAGTTTTAGAAGTAAACCCAAATTCTCTGTCAATTTATTTTTCTAGGTTTTCTTTCTCAAAACCCCCAAAAAGAGAAAAAAGATCGGAGGAAAGAAGAATTGAAATCAAAGAGCGAGAAGGGAAGAGGTAGAAAAAGGGAGAACTTACCTTGCGATGAAGAAGAAGAACGGGAGGGAGAGGGAACTTGGCACAATTGCAGAGTATATAAATGAAGCAGTAAACAAATTTCTGAAAGGGAGAGAGTTTTAGAAGTAAACCCAAATTATCTCTGCCAATATATTTTTCTAGGTTTTCTTTCTCAAAACCCCCCAAAACGAGAAAAGAAATCGGAGGAAAGAAGAATTGAAATCAAAGAGCGAGAAGGGAAGAGGTAGAAAAAGGGAGAACTTACCTTGCGATGAAGAAGAAGAACGGGAGGGAGAGGGAACTTGGCGCACTGGGTATAGAAGAAGAAGAACGGGAGGGTGAGAGAGATAAAGACGGAATGGGGTGGGTGAGAACAGAGAAGGGAGAGGGATAAAGATAGAAGGGAGGGGGAGACGTGGGCAAGTGGGGAGGTGAGAAGAGAGAGATAAAGGTAGAATAGAGGGAGACATGGGAGACGTGGCCAACATAACCCATTTCCCCCCTCTATGTTTCAAATTTCCCTCCACAAACTTTTGGCGACCAAAAGATCAAATTAGTCGCAGAAAAAGTACCTACGCCGACAAACTTTTTTAGTCGTCAAATCTTAATCAACGGCGACTAAAATATTAGTCGCTAAAAATACAAATTTGGCGACTAATTTTTTTTGGTTGCTGAAAATAAGTTTTTGGCGACCAAATTTTTGGTCGCCAAAAAATATGTGACCTTCCGCGACAAATCGCCAAAAAATATGTGACCTTCCGCGACCAAATTTGTAGTTGGTTGGCAAAAGTATACCACTTTCTGCGACCAACTCATTTTTTGATCGCCAAAATATAACCTTTTGCGACTAATAATATTTGGTCGCCAAAAATAATGATCATTCGCGACTAATTAATATTTGGTCGCCAAATGTCATTTTTTGGCTACCGAAATTTTTTTGGTCGGCAAAAGTGGTCGGCAATTGTGTAAATTCTTGTAGTGAATTGAGATGAGTTATATTTAATTCTATAGTTTTATTTTAATTTAGATACTTTGTATAACGTCAGAAGATTTGTTTATACAAGAAATATTTTTATGTAATATTCGTTATGAAAATGGTTTTCAGTGTTTGTATAGTAAAATTGTTAGACGAGTCATACTAAGTAAGATGGGTCATGCTTCAAAATAATTTAATGTAATTTAGGAAAATAGTCCGTGCTAAGCCAAGATGGTTTGTACTTTCAGATTTTATTATGCAAAAATTATTTTTTACAAAGTATCTAGGCCAATATACATCATAATATCCAAATTAAAGATTTTCTATAAACTAATACAACAACTTCCCAATTACGTGGTTAGTTGTGGATTCAAAATCCTAAGATATTTTTCTCATCTCATTTCACTTAATTAATAGTTTAATTTTCACTCCAAAAATTCACATCAACTTTGTTAAAATCCTAAATTTCTAAATTAAATTTATTTCTTTTCTTTAGTCCTTGTGGATCAACATTTGATCTTGACCGTTATTCTACAAAGTAGTAGTTACTACCCGGTTTTTAAATAAAATATTTTCGTGCATAAACATAATATCAATTTTTGATGACATTATCGGGAACTAAAGATAGAATTATTTTAATTTAGAGATTTAATTTTTAAGGGAAAAAACAAAAAGGAAATTCTTGTGACAGTTCATCCTAGGTGATCGCTTGAGCGGTGAAAAGACCGCTCGAGCGAAGATGAGGTGCTCCTAGTAGTTCGCTTTGCAGGTCACGGGACTCCTCAAGCGATCAAACGGTCACTTGAGCAAAGAAGAGGGGGTCCCTAATATCTCATTTGGCAGACAGAGATACTTGAGGGTTCATGCACCGAAAAGACTGCTCGAGCAGTCTGCGCGATATCAACCACTTAAAAAATGACTTTTAGATCATTTTTTTTTCACTTTTTCTTCTCTCTCTCTAGCTCCAAAAACCCTAGCTACCTCTCTCTAGAAATCTTCCATTTCTACTTAGATTCACAACCCCATTGCTCGCAAAAGTTGGAGTTTGGGTAAGGATCAAGCTTTCTACCGATTGGATTGGGATTTCACAAAGAGTTCATTGTTAATCTAGCTTTTTGGTATTGAATCTTGAGGTAGGACTACTTTTGACCTTGTATCTCTTTGATTTGAAGATGATTATGTGGTGTTGCCATGACATTGATGAGTTAATGAATGTTTGAGTTTATAAATTGAAGTATTCTTACAAAAATAGTACTTTTCATACAATTTTCTTAAGATTTCTACTTTTAACCTTGGATTATGAAAGTTTTTTTATGATAAATTATGTATATACATTGGAGGGGCAAAAGTCCCAAATTTTGTTAAAACCCTAATATTGGATTTTAAGAAATAATGTAATAAAAATGAAATTGATCCTTAATTCTTTAAGTTGATGATTGGCTTATGATATTAAAGTGGTATTTGAATAGAGAATTGTAAAATTGAAATATCCTTGAAATGTTGGATCTAGTTACATTATATTTGTCACAATTGTTTGGATAATGAAAGATTACTTTTATTCTAATGAATGTATGAATACTCGGAAATTTTGGAAAGATTATTAAGGGGAAGGTATATAGTATGTGAGTTCAGGTAGTGTACAAGCAAGAAATAATCTATTTCGTATAATCCTGTTGATCAAGTTTGCATTCCTCCAAACGTCGTCACTTTGCTACTTGAAAACACACGTAAGCTAGCCGGCGGGTGTGTGCCAGAAACCCCTCTGATGCCTAAGTCAGCAAGTAGATAATAAACAATAAGCTCTATATATTTGTGAGTAAGAATTGCAATACCTGTGCATAGGTTCTATCATGAGCTCTTATAATAGAACTCTATCTCTCCTTAGCAGAGTCTTCCTAGGAATCACACTCCTAAAGGATAATGCTTATCCTTAGAACACCTTTCTCACTACTAACCAGGTAAGATGGTTCAAACTCTTTTGCTTGGCTGTTGTTGTGGTCAACTGAGCTATCTTAGCTCTATGTTATCCTTGGCAGAGCCATGATAATCCTGGCTATAGGATGGCACCCTGCTGAGCTATACATAGCTCAACCCTCTTTATTGAGAACATCTCGGTCCGCTAAGGGATTGCCTTCAAATAGCTAGGTCCATGCCCTAACAACACACCTTTGACCGGCCTAGTGCCTGCTTAACCTAAGACCGAGCCACATAAGTTCTTTTCTCGACCCATTGTGCGGCCCAACTTGCAAAGAGGATTTTACCTAGCTCGGCCTAATTTGTCTACACAAATTACCCTCTTAGGTAGAGAGTCGATTTTGGAAAAATGTTGTATATGGTTGGTACCCGCGCGGGGAGGTCGAGATGCCCAATTGCCCTGTCTTGAGCTTATCGCTAGGCAAATGTGGGGAAATGTTTTTGGGTGTCCATTGGTTTTTCCGTATTGTAGTCAGTAAAAGTGGAAAAACGGATGATTTTGGGTGCCCATTCCCTGCCATAATAATAGCCAGCAAATGTGAGGGTATTTTGGATATAAACCTATTTATATATATGTGTTGGGACTCTCATTAGGGACTTCATGATGTATTTACCCCCGGTGTTTAATTTATTAATTTTGTGGAAACTGTGGATTCTAGTTTTCTCTTTTAAAGTAATATTATTAGTTGAATTAAATATGTTTTGGGTTGTGATGATGTCATATGAATCTTTGAATAACTAGATACTTTATTAAAAGTTTTTCTACTGGGCATCTAGCTCATTCCTATCTAACATTATAGGACTTGGTGATGTACCACTACCCAAGTGAGAATGAGGTGGAAATTTTGTGTTGGTTGGAGCACGAAATCTCATGGCTGTATTTTGTGAAAGCTCTGAGCATATGTGTTTTGGGACTGCGAGTCCATTTTGTTGTAACAAGGCATGGCCTTGATATTTGTAAGTCAATAGGGCATTTTTATATCATCTTCGCTAACTTCTTAAACTATGTTAATGTCGATGTAATTAAAAGTTGAATATGAAATTTGTACCTTCTGAGATTATAGTTCAATAGGAAAGAAGGTGTTGGATTAATGTCATTGGTTGGTGATGAATGGTTTAGAATTGATTATGTTATAAGTAATGTTTTAATATTGATAATATGGGGGTATTACAATACCCATTATGGACATATAATTTGTGGATTACCTTTGCTGGACATTTGTGGATGAATTACCTCTGCTGGACAAATAATATTTGCACTACTGCAAAGGACTACTATTTAATTTAATTTTCTTTATTTTTATTTAATTTTATTTTTCTTTTTGGGAGGTCCTATACCCTTTTAATTGGAGAGGTCATGCATCCCCTTTTAATTAGAGAGGTTTTATACCCCCTTTTATTTTATCGCACTATAATTTATCTCAATTTTTTTAGGGACATTTGAACTGCCCGATCTATTGTGCTAGTTGTTTTTCTTTTGGAGGTTTTAGTTTCTGTTGCAAGTTTCAATAAAAAAAGAAAAAAGAAAAAAGAAAAAAGAGTGAATGAGTGTTTGGTATGCATGGTTGTCGATCTTGTTTTCCTAAATTGGTGTCATATGATCTTGAGTTAGAGCGGACCCTTAGGGAATCTTCATAAACTTAAGCTGGCTTTAGCAATGAATGAAGCAGTTGGAGACCAATTCATATCACTGAAGGCACATTTTACACCTATTACACACACTTTACCATCTTGCATCTAACTCCCAACAACCACTGCCACTCATTATGAGATTAAGCCTAGTACCATTCAGATGCTTCCATCTTTTCATGGGCTTAGTAATGAGGATCCTTACGAACACTTGAATGAATTTTTGGAGATATGCTCTACAGTAAAACTTCAAAACTTCATTGATAATGCCCTTAGGTTGAGACTTTTTCCCTTTTTACTCAAGGACAAGGCCAAACACTGACTAAATTCCTTGTCCGAAAGTACCATCACTACTTGGGAACAAAATGTGAAATTTTTTTTGGAAAAATACTTTCCCATTGGCAAGACCAATCAAATTAGGCGAGCCATCACCAATTTCTCTCAAATTGATGGTGAGCAATTCCATGAGACTTGGGAAAGATTTCGGGATTTACTTTAACAGTCACCCTATTATCAGGTGCCTAAGTGGCAACTTGTTCACATTTTCTACTCTGTTTTGACCGAGCCACATCGACAAATGGTGGATGCATCTCACGGAGGGACTTTTATGACCAAAAGTGACACTGCAACTTGGGAATTGTTCGAAACTCTGGGTGAAAATTCCCTACACCATGCTTCTATATCTTGTCCTGAGAAACAACCAATCTCTGGTAGTGAAAAGCAAAAAGGCTTGTATGAGGTTGCTTATAATGTTGATGTTGCTCAACAAGTTGAGAAACTGTCTCAAAAATGGACCAACTATTAGTAGTAGGATACATTTCTTCACAGTTAGCGCAACCATCATATCAAGAGGATTGTTCAATCTGTTTTAGTCTTGCCCATGGTGTAACTGAATGTCCGTCAGCACCTCAATGTCCCGAGTCAGTCCAAGAGCATGTTAATGTAGTTGAGGGATTTTCTAAACCGGGTAATGGTCCATTTTCCAACACTTATAACCCTGGATGGAGAAATCACCCAAATTTCTCTTGGCGTTCACAACCACAAGGAAATTTCCACCTTCCAGCTCCACCAAA